ATCAGAATCACTTCTCCTTCTCTCGTTACTAAAAATAGACAGTGGGAGATATTTCAAGTTAAAAATATACACGTATTGATTTAAAGCTATGGATGCACCTTGAGTAATCACTTCTCTCTCTTCTAAATTTGTCTCTTTTCTTTCTGTCGTTCTCCTCATCACTGTCCGCCATTTTCTGTACGACCACGTGGTCATCACGTGGTTTATTGGGTGTGGTGATTAGTTCCTAAAGTAGGCGGGGTCATATCTATTGTGGGAGTGGCTTTAAAATGGATTTCAAGAATCCAATGAGAAAGTTCAAAATAGTGTTCCTTGGAGAAGAGGCTGGTAATAATAATTATAATAATTAATAATTATGTATCTGTGTTATCTAGTAATTGATAAAATTAATTGTTTTGCATGTATTTAGTTGGAAAAACATCAATAATCACCAGATTTATGTATGACACATTTGACAGCAATTACCAGGTATGCACTAGTAATGCTGATATTATTACTTGTTACTTGTTTTATGAGTAGGCAACGATTGGAATCGATTTCCTTGCAAAGACAATGTACCTTGATGACAGAATGGTATCGTATTTTATTATTATTGTTGTTATTATTAATATTATTACTATTATTATTATTATTGATAGGTAAGGTTACAATTATGGGATACAGCAGGTCAAGAAAGGTTCAAAGCTCTTGTACCAGCTTACATCAGAGATTCGGCCATTGCAATTGTTGTATACGACATTACAAGTACAAATATTATACCGTATAGCAGGTTTTTTTTGGATAATAATTTTCGTGAATGACCAGTATCCGGAAGTTTGCAAAATTAAGTTTTCAAGCATTTCCACTATTCTGCCATCTTGTACCGTATTAAGTTGATTTTGAAAGAATTTAATTTCACGAATCTTGAAAATTCTGCAAAATTTGTTAGCCTCGAAAAAACCGCTATACGGTACCAACTCACTTCCTTTCCACCCTCCCTCTCTCTTAGATTCTGCTTCATTTGATGCTGTTGATCAATGGATTGAAGACGTTAGGGCAGAAAGGGGCGATGACGTTGTTATTGTTTTAACTGGAAACAAACTGGACTTGGAAGTAAAAGAGGAGCAAAATTATTACATTTAAAAATTGACTCTTTACTCCTAATGCTATCCTTTCTTTTTCTTCTTTCCATCTCTCTCTCTCTTTCTCTTTTTTCAGGATAGAGTCATTTCAACTGAAAAAGGCGAAAGCAAAGCAAAAGAATTAAATGTTATTTTTGTGGAGACATCAGCAAAAAGTGGAGCCAACATCAAACAAGTATTCCTATTATTTATTTTATTTATTTATTCATGTTTTTCCCAGTTGTTTAAAAGAGCTGTCCTTGCCTTACCTTCAATGGAGATTGAAGAGGAGGAGGAGGAAGAAAATAAGAAAGAAGATAGTATCCACCTGAAGAGAGAGAGTGTGTGTACATATTTTATCGTGTTTTTCTTTAACTTTTTCTGATGAAGTTGTTCAAGTGACTCCGGTTGAAGAAGAGAAAGATCAATCCACTGTGTGTTGGTGCTAAATGGGATCCATTGCTCTACTGGCATGACATACCATTAAAGGATAAAGTCTCATCTTGTTCTTGTCGCTACCAAGTCTCTCATCCCACTTTCCACAAAACTTTTTTTGTCACCTCAAAAAATTCGAATTTTTTATATATTATACGCGAGGAATTAGAATAAAACTACTGTAAAATAATGTTAATTAATAATAAATCAAATATTATAAAGTCACATGGTCACACAAAACAGTTTCATTATTGCAAGTATTTGTTATTCTTTCTTTCTTGTCTCTCTCGGACCTTTAAATCCATCCAATACTATCGTAATACCAAATAACCTTGCAGCTGCAATCGAAGCTTTTACTGGAAATATGCTGCATATTATAGAAGTTAT